TTGACTTGGAGACAGAATATTTCGTATTGCGTTTGAGAATAGTATAAAAGGGATTCAACAAGCGTAGAAGCCTCGGGAGAGAGAAAACTTTGCAATAGAAAGTTTACTGTTTAGTGAAACAGCTTATTGACTGATTCCAAACCAGCAAATGAAAGCTGAATCCTTAGCAGAATCGTAGAGGCGCAGGAGAGGAAGTCAGCACGCTTCTGCAAGGAGCGGTCAAGTCCAAAGATATAGTGTGGCAATGACTGGTCTGTCTTAGACTTGCGAAGGTGAGGCCGGGAGCTGGTTCCCAGGTCTTCTTTTACAATATGCAAAGCAACTAAGTTACAACTCTAAATCTGTTGTGTTGCTGCACTTGTGGCAGATAGTGTGACAGTTTCTCAGGACTGGAGGGAAAAGGTATCAGAGAAACGAAGATGACTAATATAACTGGAAAGTACTGACATGAATAAAAGAAACTGACATTACTGGAAGATGACAGTCATGACTGCAAAACACTGACACGACTAGAAGATTACCGACATGGCTGATTACTGACATGACTCGAAGGTAATGGCAGCATTATATAACATAAATGCTTCGCCTTTTAGCCTTTATCTTCAGATACTTTGAATATTTTCTCGCTAAACAACTCACTATTGGTTGGACTAGGAGTGGATCTTTACTCATCACTGAGTGCTTTTAAGTCTCAGCTTTACCAGGGGAGATGAGGACGGACGCGGGACCTTACCGTCAGCGAAGTCAGGCGGAAGTCGGCGCTTGAAGGCAGTGTTCTTGGCTCCCCATCTCGGGTTCTCGAAGTTGTTACAGCTGCCGTCGTATTCCCTGTATCTGTTGGAGAGACCAGATTACCAGGGTAGGTGAGGAAGTAGGTACTTACAGAAAAAGACACATACTTCATCTACATACGCTTCTCTTTCTTTACTCATGTTGTTATTTCTCTCTTCATCCTTACCTCTTCGGTTCGCACTTCCTGGGTAAAAGAAAGTCGTGGCAGATGGAGCCGATAATAGTCTTTGAGGTGTCGATAAGTGGAACCCCGTTAATCAAAACATCCTTAGGCAGGTTGTACCTGAAGAAGGAAGGGAGAACATGCATAAAGTTCCTTGTGAGAAACTAAATTAGTAAAGACAAAAAATGGAGGAGCATAGTTTGAGCGATTCTATATTGACAGCGTCTCACCCCATACAGTGGGCTTCATCAGATCTGTTTGTGACTTGATAAAGCCCACTGTGTGGGCGAAACGTTATCGATAAAGGCTCCATAACGCTGCACTTGTGTCTCTTTTCCCATCACTGTCGTAATACACTTAGTTGACAGTTGGAAGTATTACTACCAAGTTATAAACTAGTAATAATAATAACAATAATAATAATCTTTATTTCTACATGTACAAGGTATACAGTCCTAGCTGACATCAATGACATACTACTATATAGAAAGCCCCTTGTTAAGTAGAGCATTTCAGGCAAATTAAGTCAGTTTTGTCCCCAGGATGCGACCCACACCAGTCGACTAACACTCAGGTACCGATTTTACTGATGGGTGAACATGGACAACAGGTGCCTTAAGGATACACGTCCTACTGTTTCCACCCATACCGGGGATTGGCCTCGGACATCAAAGTGTGTGAGCTGAGTGCGCTACCAATCGAGCTACGGGACACCTGAAATACGTTATCTTATTGCAACTTAAGCTAGTCTAACTCTAATATATTTTCATGCTAATACCAAGTTATAAACAAAATATACTTACTGTTTAGCCAGATTTCTCGTGGTCTCGATCAGAACTGCTCCTAAATTCGACAGATCTTCTTTGCCCGGGTTTTTTCCTGGTCTGGGTAGACCCAGGCGGTCCCGAGCCGCTATGAAGGCGGCGTCTACAGACTGAAAGGTGACGCAGGTGAAGCCATCACCTGCGTGGGGGAACCTGATCAGGGAAAGAAGAGTTAGGTGCTTTAGACCGGTCGAGGGGGTGACAAGAATTTAAATGTTGGTGGAGAGAGATCATGTGAAGGAGATATATGGGAGTGCTATTATTATTATTATTAATATTATTATTATTACTATTATTATTACAATTACTATTATTATTATTATTATTTTATTATTAATTATTTTTAACATTATTATTATCATTTACGCTCAACAAAAAGCGCTAAACCTTTGGAGAAGAACATTTTGAGTGGTCGAAGTATCAATTGAATGATGAACAAACATTACTAAAACGACAATAAAATGATTGACGAAAACGAAACGACGTTTCGATCAGTCCAGGACCATTTTCAGGTCACGAGTGAATAGGAGATGGAAAGTTGTAACGTTATGGCAGTGTGATATAGGATGATGAGGGTCAGGTCACGTGTGTGAAGACAGCAAGTTGATCAGTGTGAGGAGTGCGCGCGCGCACACCCACACACTAACATACACACACACACACACACACTAACACACACACACACACACACACACACACACACACACACACACACACACACACACACACACACTAACACCCCTGCAACCACAAATAGGTGAGTACAAATAGGTGAGTACATACACAGATTCAGAGAATTCAGAGAATACGTGATAGGGAGGCAACAACGAGTCATGGTACGTGACGAGGTGTCAGAGTGGGCGCCTGTGACGAGCGGGGTTCCACAGGGGTCAGTCCTAGGACCTGTGCTGTGTTTGGTGAATGTGAATGACATGATGGAAGGGAGAGACTCAGATGTGTCCCTGTTTTCAGATGATGTGAACTTAATGACGAGAATTAAATCGGTCAAGGATCAGGCAGGACTACAAAGAGATTTGGGCAGGCTATATGCCTGGTCCAGGAACTGGCTCCTCGAATTTACCCCGCCAAATGTAAAATCATGAAGATCGGGGAAAAGCAAAGAAGACTGCAGACAGAGTACAGGCTAGGTGGCCAAAGACTGCAAACCTCACACAAGGAAAAGGATCTTGAGGTGGGTATAATACCGAGCACATCTCCTGAGGCGCACATCAACCAGATAACTGCTACATAATATGGGCGCCTGACAAACCTGAGAATAGCGTTCTGATACCTCAGTAAGGAATCGTTCAAGACTCTGTACACCGTGTACGTCAGGCCCATATTGGAGTATGCAGCACCAGTCTGGAATCCACACCTGGTCAAGCATATCAAGAAATTATTGAAAGTGCAAAGGTTTGCAACAAGATTAGTTCCAGAGCTAAGGGGAATGTCCTACGAAGAAAGGGTAAGGGAAATCGGCCTCACGACACTGGAGGACAGGAATGTTAGGGGAGACATGATAAAGACATACAAAATACAGCGAGGAATAGATAAGGTGAACAGAGACAGGATGTTCCAGAGAGGGGACACAGAAACAATGGGTCACAATTGGAAATTGAAGACTCAGATGAGTCAGAGGGATGTCAGGAAGTATTTCTTCAGTCATAGAGTTGTCAGGAAGTGGAATAGTCTGGAAAGTGACGTCGTGGAGGCAGGAACCATATATAGGTTTAAGATAAGGTATGATAAAGCTCATGGAGCAGGGAGAGAGAGGACCTAGTAGCGACCAGTGAAGAGGCGGGGCCAGGAGCTATGAATCGACCCCTGCAACCACAAATAAGTGAGAACAAATAGGTAAGTACACAAGCACTCGTGGTGAAAAACAACTTTCGTGGAACCGAGTACTAAAAATAATCCCGTGTCCTTCGATGTTGTTTATTTTAAAACCTGTTAGCGGCTCCTCACAAGCACTATTATTATTATTATTATTATTATTATTATTATTATTATTATTATTATTATTATTATTATTATTATTATCGTCACCATCATCAGCATCACCCCCTCACTCTCACCATTATTTTCATCATCACTAATGTTACACCATCACACACACACACACACACACACACACACACACACACACACACACACACACACACACACACACACACACACACACACACACACAACTTACTGGATTCCGTTAAAGACCCCCAGAGCGTGGTCCCTCGCTGAAGACTTGCCTCGCCCGGGGATAAGTAGAGCACAGTGACTGTTGTCATTGCGACGAGGAGGACCTCCTGAGATGCTGCGACCACCTCCTGGAAACCTGCAAGATGAAGCCACCTTAGTGAGGGGAGGGGAAGCTGTGAATGTTACCATGGAAACCTGCAAGATGAAGCCACCTTAGTGAGGGGAGGGGAAGCTGTGAATGTTACCATGGAAACCTGCAAGATGAAGCCACCTTAGTGAGGGGAGGGGAAGCTGTGAATGTTACCATGGAAACCTGCAAGATGAAGCCACCTTAATGACGGGGAGGGGGGGGGGGAAGCTGTAAATGTTATCATGGTATTCTGCGAAGAGGAAAAAGATAAATGTAGGAAAAAGGAATGGAGAGAAAGCTCCTTCTGAAAGAACACAGCGATCTGTGGAAACTTGACAGGCGGGTCAGTGTGGGGGAAAATGAAAGCATGGAGAAGATAAGCAGTGAAAAGAGGGAGGTAGGGGAGAAGAAAGGCAGGAAAGATAGGAGCGAGGGAGAGAGAGAGAGAGAGAGAGAGAGAGAGAGAGAGAGAGAGAGAGAGAGAGAGAGAGAGAGAGAGAGAGAGAGAGAGAGATAGAACAAGAATGGAAAAGAAAAGAAACACAGCGTAAATGAGCAACACAATTATCTCAACAATAATTTCAACAATGCAAGACTAGCAACCTGATATCATTTTTTAAGAACCCCTTCCTCTTGGTTTCAAGTGTCCTACTTCCTCTTGGTTTCAAGTGTTCTACTTCCTCTTGGTTTCAAGTGTCCTACTTCCTCTTGGTTTCAAGTGTCCTACTTCCTCTTGGTTTCAAGTGTCCTACTTCCTCTTGGTTTCAAGTGTCCTACTTCCTCTTGGTTTCAAGTGTCCTACTTCCCCTTGGTTTCAAGTGTCCTACTTCCTCTTGGTTTCAAGTGTCCTACTTCCTCTTGGTTTCAAGTGTCCTACTTCCTCTTGGTTTCAAGTGTCCTACTTCCTCTTGGTTTCAAGTGTCCTACTTCCTCTTGGTTTCAAGTGTCCTACTTTCTCTTGGTTTCAAGTGTCCTACTTCCTCTTGGTTTGAAGTTTCCTACTTCCTCTTGGTTTCAAGTGTCCTACTTCCTCTTGGTTTCAAGTGTCCTACTTCCTCTTGGTTTCAAGTGTCCTACTTCCTCTTGGTTTCAAGTGTCCTACTTCCTCTTGGTTTCAAGTGTCCTACTTCTTCCTCTTGGTTTCAAGGTGTCCTACTTCCTCTTGGTTTCAAGTGTCCTACTTCCTCTTGGTTTCAAGTGTCCTACTTCCTCTTGGTTTCAAGTGTCCTACTTCCTCTTGGTTTCAAGTGTCCTACTTCCTCTTGGTTTCAAGTGTCCTACTTCCTCTTGATTTCAAGTGTCCAACTTCCTCTTGATTTCAAGTGTCCTACTTCCTCTTGGTTTCAAGTGTCCTACTTCCTCTTGATTTCAAGTGTCCTACTTCCTCTTGATTTCAAGTGTCCTACTTCCTCTTGGTTTCAAGTGTCCTACTTCCTCTTGATTTCAAGTGTCCTACTTCCTCTTGATTTCAAGTGTCCTACTTCCTCTTGATTTCAAGTGTCCTACTTCCTCTTGGTTTCAAGTGTCCTACTTCCTCTTGGTTTCAAGTGTCCTACTTCCTCTTGGTTTCAAGTGTCCTACTTCCTCTTGGTTTCAAGTGTCCTACTTCCTCTTGGTTTCAAGTGTCCTACTTCCTCTTGATTTCAAGTGTCCTACTTCCTCTTGATTTCAAGTGTCCTACTTCCTCTTGGTTTCAAGTGTCCTACTTCCTCTTGGTTTCAAGTGTCCTACTTCCTCTTGGTTTCAAGTGCCCTACTTCCTCTTGGTTTCAAGTGTCCTTCCTCTTGGTTTCAAGTGTCCTACTTCCTCTTGGTTTCAAGTGTCCTACTTCCTCTTGATTTCAAGTGTCCTACTTCCTCTTGGTTTCAAGTGTCCTACTTTCTCTTGATTTCAAGTGTCCTACTTCCTCTTGATTTCAAGTGTCCTACTTCCTCTTGATTTCAAGTGTCCTACTTCCTCTTGGTTTCAAGTGTCCTACTTCCTCTTGGTTTCAAGTGTCCTACTTCCTCTTGATTTCAAGTGTTCTACTTCCTCTTGATTTCAAGTGTCCTACTTCCTCTTGATTTCAAGTGTCCTACTTCCTCTTGATTTCAAGTGTCCTACTTCCTCTTAATTTCAAGTGTCCTACTTCCTCTTAATTTCAAGTGTCCTACTTCTTCTTGATTTCAAGTGTCCTACTTCCTCTTGATTTCAAGTGTCCTACTTCCTCTTGATTTCAAGTGTCCTACTTCCTCTTGATTTCAAGTGTCCTACTTCCTCTTGATTTCAAGTGTCCTACGTCCTCTTGATTTCAAGTGTCCTACTTCCTCTTGATTTCAAGTGTCCTACTTCCTCTTGATTTCAAGTGTCCTACTTCCTCTTGATTTCAAGTATCCTACTTTCTCTTGATTTCAAGTGTCCTACTTCCTCTTGATTTCAAGTGTCCTACTTCCTCTTGATTTCAAGTGTCCTACTTCCTCTTGATTTCAAGTGTCCTACTTCCTCTTGATTTCAAGTGTCCTACTTCCTCTTGATTTCAAGTGTCCTACTTCCTCTTGATTTCAAGTGTCCCACTTCCTCTTGATTTCAAATGCCCTACTTCCTCTTGATTTCAAGTGTCCTACTTCTTCTTGATTTCAAGTGTCCTACTTCCTCTTGATTTCAAGTGTCCTACTTCCTCTTGGTTTCAAGTGTCCTACTTCGTCTTGGTTTCAAGTGTCCTACTTCCCCTTTTATTTCAAGTGCCTACTTCCTCTTGATTCAAGTGTCCTACTTCCTCTTGATTTCAAGTGTCCTACTTCCTCTTGGTTTCAAGTGTCCTACTTCCTCTTGGTTTCAAGTGTCCTACTTCCTCTTGGTTTCAAGTGTCCTACTTCCTCTTGGTTTCAAGTGTCCTACTTCCTCTTGGTTTTCAAGTGTCCTACATTCCTCTTGGTTTCAAGTGTCCTACTTCCTCTTGGTTTCAAGTGTACTAAATTCCTCTTGATTTTTAAGTGTCCTACTTCCTCTTGGTTTCAAGTGTCCTACTTCCTCTTGATTTCAAGTGTCCTACTTCCTCTTGGTTTCAAGTGTCTTATTTCCTCTTGATTTCAAGTGTCCTACTTCCTCTTGGTTTCAAGTGTCCTACTTCCTCTTGGTTTCAAGTGTCTTACTTCCTCTTGATTTCAAGGGTCCTACTTCCTCTTGGTTTCAAGTGTCCTACTTCCCCTTGGTTTCAAGTGCCTTACTTCCCCTTGGTTTCAAGTGTCCTACTTCCCCTTGGTTTCCAGTGTCCTACTTCCCCTTGGTTTCAAGTGTCCTACTTCCCCTTGGTTTCAAGTGTCCTACTTCCCCTTGGTTTCCAGTGTCCTACTTCCCCTTGGTTTCAAGTGCCTTACTTCCCCTTGGTTTCAAGTGCCTTACTTCCCCTTGGTTTCCAGTGTCCTACTTCCTCTTGGTTTCAAGTGCCTTACTTCCCCTTGGTTTCCAGTGTCCTACTTCCCCTTGGTTTCCAGTGTCCTACTTCCCCTTGGTTTCAAGTGTCCTACTTCCCCGTGGTATCTAAATATCCCGCCTCCCTCATATTTTCTGTCAGTCAGAAATCTCAGTTCTTACTGTTCTTACAGGCACCTTAAAATCCGAAAACAGGTGCCCAGTTAGGCTCTCTACAGTACACTATAATAATCACTTATTAAAGCTCCTGCAGGCACCCACCGTCTGCCTGGTTAGTAATGCCTCCTCTGAATGCCTCTCTGCTGGCATAGGTATACAGAACCGATGTGAAATACTGACTTCAGTTAGAAATTTAAGTACATATAAATCAGGATATTTATTCCTTATTTAAAATGTTCTTCATACCTCTAAGGAAAAAAATTGGTTTCTTACTTTTTAGAAAAGTCCAATTTAATTAAAAAATCAATTAAATTGGCAAAATGACACGTAGAGAACTCAGATTTAGTAAAGAACACTTCCCATTACAAAAATATTTCTCACCTGTTGTTCTCTAATATTCATCATTATCTCAGAAATATTCCACTATGGAGCCTTAAAAAACAGCAAAAATATGCGTTGAAAAGTATATTATTTTTATTTTTCTAAAGCATATCAAAAGTTTCTAAGCCATATTATCAGATTTCCTAAGCAGATATTTCGGGTTCGAGTCCTCGGCTAGTCGTAGTGTTATTGATTAAATACCACTCGTTCGTGATATATATATATATATATATATATATATATATATATATATTATATATATATATATAATATATATATATATATATATATATATAAATATTATATATATATATATAATATATATATATATATATATATATATATATATATATATATAATATATATATATATATATATATAATATATATAAAATATATAATATATATATATATATATATATATAATATATATATAATTTTATATAATATATATATATATAATATATATATATATATATATATATATATATATATATATATATATGTATGTATGTAATTAAAAATTCAAGGTTAGTAAATCTTATACAGGGCTTCATATTTTATAAATCTGAAAATATGCTTTTGTAATTAAAGTGGGATATAACAGAAACCAGAGAACCTCTGGTTTCTAAGGTTTCTCACCTCACGCGTCCTGAGGAGGGAAAGCCGGTGTGGAAGGCGTCGGCTTCGGCGTCGGCCTCGCTCCTAGCTGTAGCCACACACACTACCAGCAGGAACAGTCTGAAAGAACACTCAATGTGAGACGCATAGCACGAATAAGTTTATTAGTTGATCACATATGGCGTTCCTTGGAGGAAGTTAAAACGGGAGTAATAACAGGGGATATAAGAGGTTATAAGAGGATATAGGAGCATAAGAAATGAGGAGCAGTAGAATAATTCAGTAGGCCTACTGGCCTATACTAGGCAGATCCAACTCACACCCATTCATGTATTTGTTTAAGCTATTTTTCGCTTCAGTGACGTTACTCGCCACCACACTACTCTATCATCACCACACTATACTACCATCATCACACTACACTACCATCATCACACTACACTACCATCATCACACTACACTACCATCACCACACTACACTACCATCATCATACTACACTACCATCATCACACTACACTACCATCATCACACTACACTACCATCACCACACTACACTACCATCATCATACTACACTACCATCATCACACAACACTACCATCATCACACTACACTACCATCACCACACTACACTACCATCATCACACTACACTACCATCACCACACTACACTACCATCACCACACTACACTACCATCATCACACTACACTACCATCATCACACTACACTACCATCATCACACTACACTACCATCATCACACTACACTACCATCATCACACTACACTACCATCACCACACTACACTACCATCACCACACTACACTACCATCATCACACTACACTACCCTCATCA